AGAGCCAATCGATTCAAAACCTGAAATCAATTTATCCCCACAAACCTCAAAATTGGCATAACAATGCATACTGTTACATAATTTTGTCAAAGTACGCATTCTTTTTGTATGTATGCATATATATATGATATTAAATCAATATTATGATTACAATAAAAGTCATTGAGACTGGCTAACATTCGAAATAGAGATGTGGATAAATTGTGTACTTCTGTATCATCGAATGAACTGTGAATACCAAAAGAGAATAATAATGACTCTTTTTAAGAAAAATGTCGGGTATCGGTTGTGTTTTCCACTCTATTCTTTCCTTCTTTCGTTTGATTAAGTTTGACTAAAAAAGTCTCAGGATAAGCAGAGTATTTTTGATTGAATTATTACATATGGCTTGATAAACCAACCAGAATATGATAGCTTAACAGGCATTAAAAAATACCCCCAGTTAATACTGCCCAGGTGCAGATTCCAACTACTGTGTGAATGCAATATTACTACAGTATTAATTTACTGTTATCAGTCTAACTGTCTAGATCGATTTTATCTCAATATAAATCAGAGGAAAGTAGAGAGAGACAGAGAAGTGACTAAATATTGTTTAATTAGACTATCTTACAGAATTTTTTGGCTTACCATAGAGTTAATGATACACGTTTCCTCACGTGCGGGACTCATCTACTAGATGAACCTGCATCCTAGTGAATGATGGTGTTCCCGCTGAGAATGGAACCCATTACCCATGGCTTCAAGCCCCAAAACGTTATCTACTAAGGCACTAAGACATGACAGTTAGTTTTGTTTGGCGAACAGGTCTCATTCTCGAGGCATGACACTTGAAGCATAAAGGGGTGTGATAGGATTCGGATCACTGATTCAGTCATCGTTTCCTATCTTATGAGAAAATAAGGGTTTGATACAGCCCAACAAAATACAGATCTAATGAGAACTTGGACGCAGTTTATGGTTGTTTCATTCCCGTTTGAAGCTTCTCAGCAGTCTGTATCTTTGACTCAGTGATGAAGCAAGCCATAGAACCACTAACCCTTGAAGCTAACGCATTACTACTCAGATTGTCTCACAGATAGCGGACTTATGAACTATGACGGTGTTATTGTAAACTTGTCTACCAGCAAATTTTCAGTCGAACCATGTCACATAGTCTTTGGCACTGACTGAATCTATCTGGTAAACTACCCTATTTATGTTTTCTGGAAATACGTCATCAACAGACTTGATGATACTTTCGAAAACAAATGAAATTGTCACCACAGATTTGTTCCCCCAACAAACGTCCTAATCGTTAACCTATCTGGTATAGACAGTCGTGGATTTGGTCATGAGGCATACCCATTATGTGAAGGCCTGAAATCCTACTCAGCTCCCTCGTCCAAAGTAGACGGTTTGAGACTCGAGCCAAAGAATCACCAAATGGAAGTGAAATACTTAGGCTGGTCGTTTACAAGTTCAAACATATAAGCCTGTAGTGTACAGTGTATCTTGATGACATTCCATCGAAAAATACGGTAAATTAGGAATGCAACAAAATTGGCGGGATGACGGTCAGTAAGAAGCTGATCTTCATTCACTATGACTACAAAAACACTAGCGATGACATGTCCTGAAGTACAGCAAATTTTTCCACTTGAGAATTCTTTCTCATTCGTCATTAGAACCGTTACCCTCAATTGTGTGTTTCAGCTCGCTTGTATCCCACGAAGCAGTTAAACTCAGATAGCAGAAACAAAATTTCATCCCAGCTGTTTCTAATCTGTCTCGAAGAGGGAGCAAGGAATTATAATAGTAGGCTACTGAGCACACGTTAGCAAGCAAATATTTCGGGGTTGTTTGAAATATAAGTAACACACATAACAGTTCATATATTCTTTCCTTCTCTGAAGTCAGCGCAATCAAACGCTTGAAAACAGGTTTTTGCATTCGAAAGAGATCTGCTGTTATTCTTTGACGTTCCTGCTCATTTACTTTATTATCTTGCCCATATTTCATGACATCATATACCCTCTGTTTGATTGACAACTGCCAATAAACCCAATTCCACTGATCAACATACGTAATGCTTTCTCTCGGTTCAAAAGATCCTGCTTTTCTAGCCAAATCGAAGTTCTGCTAGAACCTTTATCCTAAAATACTTACATATATATGCACTTTTGTGTCACCTTGTACGAGGCGATAGGTGGGAAGCTCTGCTCCACCCAAGGTTTTGGACCTTGCTGACACTCGTCAGTAAGACGTATCTACATTATCAAAGAAACTGAAGTCTCTTTTGAAATTGAGACATGTATCACCCCGTACTGCTGTCAGAGACGTTATCACTCAGCAATTCTAGTTGACATTGACTTTTTGATGGACTGAATTATATATTGGAGAGTGATTAACCATTTTGCAATCTTTTCCACTACTCAGGGGGTTCGAAATCATCCCATTAATTGTTTCCCAAACTATAAAATCATTTTTTAATCTGATAAATATGTTTATTGGTTTCAAGGTGGCATTCGTCATAGACTAACAGCACTTGGACAACTATTGAAAACCAAGCGCGACTGGTCTTAGTATAATGTTCTTCAGTGGTGCGCACCCACGACCAGGACAAGGATGGGACACAGGACCTTCGGGTATCGCAGAGAACGCGCTGGTGTTTCATTCTGCAGTATATATATGTATGAACGACATGAAGCTTCGACGTGATGCAATTACTGATAGAACAACGACTTCTCAAAGCGATACTCAGCTGACACCAGAAGAAAAAGACAATGGGATTGAAGTTATATTTACTTCAACCGAATAGTACGATTATATCTTAAGTTCAGTCGTTCATAAACTTTTTTAAGAGCCTTGACCAGGGAGGACAAAGTAGACTATTATAAGTGTAAAATGGACCAATCAGTGTTTACTATCTTAAACCGCGGTAAAAACAAGTTACATTGCATGAGGTAAAAAATGCGTAAAAATAAGGTCTACATTTTATAATGAAAACATATACATGTTGTGAATTAGTTCTTGAGGGATCGACCATCCGTAACAGTTAGCTGTTCAACCACTGGGTCGGAACGCAGTAGCTACATACTCAGATGACGTGGATGTCCACTGCTCCAAGGATTTCACTGTTTCTGAAAATGATGTTGGTCCGCAAGAAATACCACCTTAATTACAATCTATAAACCTCCACAGACTTCAGAGCTGAAACATGCTTATTGGTGATCTATGCCTGATTTATTCACCAAGATATCTTATGACTACATTTTTAAATTTGTATACTGTTTCGATTTCAGTATGGACACCTCATTAAAACGCAAACACTGTTTAAGGCTTTATTTGAGGCAATCCGAAGTTTAAATGTGAAATGAAATCAATTACACTGAAATCCTTGGTTCAAAGTTAACTGTGTTAAGCTTATTTTAGCGACATTTCATATGACACACTTTAGAAACCCACAGCTTGGTTCCCAGTAAAAACCCATGCTAATCATCAATAGAAACGTTGAATAGGACGCGACAAAGTATGATGAGATTATGGAAATGGAGCCTAAATCAGTAAATTACATCTAAATCCAAAGAATGTAAATATGGGAAAAAATGAGGCAAAATTTCTAATCAGGTTGTTAGATTTAATTAACTCATAACTATTTTTGTTGATATGAAGTGGTTGAAAAAAGAAATCAATGTTTAAGTTCATTAGCGTTTGAGGCGGACGCTTTTGACTGGCTGTGATATCAGAGTGACCCTGACTAATCAGAATTAAAGGCTGTGGGACTAAATCTATTCCCATAACACTAGAAATGACTCAAAGGTCATGTAGGTTCGAGTCTCACTGGTTACAACATCAAACGCTGGGAGGCACCTACACGCACACATGAAAATACTCTATAGAAATGTCTAGCTTTCGCCTAGTGAACATGACACCCATGGTCCAACCCAGGCCAGCTCTCACCTTTTTATATTCTCACAGCTCAGTTAAACATGACATGATTAGAAGAAGGAGGTTGATAAGGATTTCATTTTTAACGGAAGCATTAATCACGGGTTGAAATCCGTTTAGGAAACATCGAAAATCTGGGGGCGTAAGGCATTTCTTTTGACCTAGTGTTAGTCTCCTCTGAAGAACGCACCCACAACCCAACCAGGAATCGAACTCAGGACATCCAAGTCTCACGGTGGATGCACTGACCATTTAACCACTGAGTCAGAATCCCGTTATCCACAGGACGCTACTTTTTTCAGTTCATGATATGATGCGAGTATCCACCTAAGTTTTTATTCGGTATCCGCTTCACTCTCAGCTGATTGACACCGTTATTTAGGGCTTTTAATTGGAACTTTGGGACATCCATCTCGATGCATGTTACTATACAGTGATGTAGTCTGACCCAGTGCTTGAATGGTTAGTGTGTTCACTGTGAAGCCCAAAAGTCCTGATTTCGATTCCTAGCGGGTTTATGGGTGTATACTACCGGGGAATCTCATACTATCCAGCACTCTCAGGTTTTCGATTTTTCTTCAGCTGTCGTCAACCCGTTATGAATATTACCTTAATAAGAAAACTTATATTTGTAAATAATTTTTCACGGTTTATCGAAATCTAACGGATAATAATGTGTATGAAATTTATAGGTTTACTCAGTGTTTAAGTTGGTAAACTATCCAAAAAGACTTTTAACTGTATCAACACAGGAAGGATGTTCTGCCAAAAATACTTTCATATTCGTATATTTTTTGTTTTAAAAAGGCATAACTTAAGACATATGTCCAACTGTGCTAAATTTAGGGTTTACGTATATGCAAATGCTTATCATATGTATTAGCAATTGCTCGAACTTTGAATAAAAAGACTAAAATATGACCTTAAATGTAGCATTGGTTGGTTAATTTTAAATGGACAATTAAATTGCTGACTTTTGATTGGTTTCTTGTAATTGTGCAAAGTGAAGATGATTGGTCGTTGTCCAATGATAATAATATGTAAAAGGTCTGTATAAAAATTTGACAGTTATGTAACATCTGAGAAACGTGAAATCTCTTGACAAGAAAAAAAGTTTAGAAAAAAGGAAACCTTGGATGTAAAACATCAACATATTTTCTTTTATCACACAGTTCACCATACATGTACACAAACGTGCATACATATACACAGATATACTTGCACAAAAGCACAAAAACTTCCTACCCAAACGATAACTGAAAACAGACATTCTCCGAAAAATTGACCAAACATATTTTGGTGCATGAAATCAATAAGTCTGATTATACTACTGACAGACTAATGGAAAGAAAAATCACAACATCCATCAGTGATCGTGAATTAGTTCCCGATGAACGTGTTGTTGATATTATCAGTAATAATAGTACTAACAGTAAGGATAAATTATATCTTATAGAACACACACACTCACTACCGAATGAAAGATCCACTGACTTATATAGTAACAGCAGTAATAATAATAATTACAATAACAAAAATAGCCGTTTACAACGTGGCAGGACACTATCATATAGGCCACGAATGGTAGCACGATCTTCTGTGAATTGTAAACACTTATCAGGGAATATATTTGCCAATAATCGTAATACTCCAAACTATCTTAGTGATCAACGTTTATTCAAACTGAGTCCTACACCTTCTGAAGCAGTAACTCCTCAACCGGTTCAAAATACACACACCGATATTAATAGTAATAATATTACCATAGGCAATATTACTGACAATCAGACATTTGATTACATGTCCTTCCATTCTGATCGTCCTTTATCAACTTCAGCATTACGTTTGCCATCAAATACAATGGATCATCAAATGATGACTTCACCTATGAGTCCTGAAATTATGAGTGCTTCACCTAGAGAACCACGTATTGATGATTTATTGATTAAAAAGGGTAATCGTACAGCAAGGTATTTAGACAATACAAAGAATATTCGACGTGAATCAAAATCTTATTCAACAACAATATCTCCAATTCCGCTTATCTCATATCATCAAAATGCGATCCCCGGAGGAATCGATTTATATCCGACAACACTAGAGAAAATTTCAACACCTGACAAAAAATCATACAATGATGAATTGAGTACCCATAGGAAGAAGATGAACAAAGGCGATTTAAGTAGACCAACGGTTATTACTAAAGTGAGTCATCATTCCTGAGTTATTTTTTTATTATTTATCCATCATCTGTGATGTGTACATACGTAATCGGGTGTCAGTTGGATGGCAGAAATCGTGACGTTCTGCTTCACCTTGCCTTCGAAGCCTGTTGGTACTCGCCAGCAAGACGTTTCTGTAACTTTGACAGAACTGATTTTCTGCCAGAAACTGGAATCCATGTCACTCATTGATGCAGTTGGATGAATTATTAGTGAGCTATTCAGGCTGCTACTGAGACTTAGGTCAAACGGAGCTTCCTGCCTATTGTCTCCATTCAACTGACATCTATTCCAATGAAGTGCACTGATCAGTCTTTTAGATTAGTAGTCACAATGCAAAACGATCGACTTGACAATATGAAGTTAGTTACCCTCCAGTGACTGGTAAATGTACACGTGGAACTATTCGACAATTTGAACAAATGTGATTTGAAATTAGAAAGTGAAAATTTTCTAACAAAGTGGGCAATGAGTTGTCAGTTTGGAAGAAAATGAGAAATTAGTAATTGATATAGAAATGGTTGGCTAGCCTTGAGAACTGGAGAGTTAACAAAAATTAAGAATCGAATAAAGACGCTTAGTGGAAACGTTACCTTTAGAAACACAATTTCGGTTTCAGTTTTTTGTTTTGCCATAGCTTTGCCAAGGCCTACTAGAAGTTTTCTAGCAGCCTTTGGAAGATTGCTTCATATCTGCTAACCCACCGGAAGAAATCATCGAAAACTTTAGTGAAGGTCTATTGACTAATCTACGGTCATCTTTATTAAGCTAATTTGAAAGTTGTTGCTTTCAGCGGATAAAAACTCGTCTCCTCGCATGGCCTTGAACCTAGCCCTACCAGAGTGGATGAATAGATGTTTGCAAAAAGACGCGCCTAGCAGTGACTTTTTGTCTTCCATACATATGTTGCTTAATGAGCGACTGTTATACATGATTTCCCGAGGCGCTCAAGAAAATATTTAATTTGCAGTCTTCATATGTCGGCGTTTCGGTGCCTCGTCTATTGCATCACGACTGAATTTCAATTTGAAACGTACTTTCCTCATCTTATCCACACTAATAAGTGACTGATGATTAGCATTTCAATGCAAACGTTTTTCTGTGAACCTCTTCAAGTATCTATTTCTGAGGGACATATACCTTAGGAGTTGAATTTTATCTTCTAGGGTGTCTCATGAGTAGAAATCCACTGGACTGGAAAAGAAAAAGGAAAGGATTAAATTTCTTTATTGACTTATGGTACATAGATGTTAGTTTTTTTCATTTGCTCATCCCATATTTATTTCCAACAAATGAATCCTTCAAGTGTTCTATTATCTTTTCTGATTAACAATACGTTGAGGGATGGTATCTCTGAGTGTGATTCCATCTCCATTGTAAACCTGGTCGAGAAGTCGCACTCACAGAAAAACTGTTGTACTTTCTGCAAATAAAACTTCATGTCATAGTCAATGAATGTTTCATCTTTAGTAGAACTTAAACTGCTTTACTCGACAGAAATGTTCAAAATTTTGTTGAAACCCTGTCAGCTGATTAAGAACGTTCAGTGATCATCACAGATAACTTTAACCGTTGTAGTTTTGTCCAGAAAAGTGAAGAAACTCAGTAATAAAACCCTAATGCTTCTAGATAGACACTCAACACTCGAAATATTTTTAGTAATGAAAGACTTAATTGCATGAGAGATAGTTAAAGAGTATGAGAAAGAATAGTAAGGGACAAGATTACCAGTATCTAATGTCATCAGTACACTCAATCTCAGTCAGTTATTATATGTAGATAATCAGGAACCATGGTTCGATAAAGCCCTTAATTCTGACTGAACTTCGAAGATTAACCTACTCAAATCCTATCATTCGATCCAAGCTTAATTTCTGTATCAATGGATACATCTTATGTCTGCGCGACTGCCTATAAGCTATTTTAAGCCAGGGTGAATTTTTGAGTAAATTTTGTCTTAAATAGTTCAAAATGTCTAGAGGCGGAAATTACACGCTTGATAACCACGTCACCTATATGCATCACCTATGTGAATGGATGACAATGGGTTTAGGTGGAATTTAAAAAAATTAAATTGAATTTGAACAGCAGGAAGACTTAGGTAAAATTAACTGATGATCTGAACAGAAATTGCACAAATGTTGATGTTAGATTTACATAAGTAATAGACAAAAATCTTATAAACTGAATACAATTTTAGTTAGTAGTAAAGTCTTTTAAATAGGTTGTAAAATCATTTTATTGGGTAAAATTCATTCAGATTTAATTTTAGTGCCGTCGTTTTGCTTAGTAGTACAACTGAACGAAACCCACCAAAGAAAGGATAAGCGCCTTTCACTGTATTAATCTACATTAGTATAGTCTACTATAGTAATTCGTGTCAGTTTACGGATGATATTATGAATAAACGGTTTGTGTTAGTTATTTCGTCTGTCTAAAAAAGTTCTACCAAGCTTGTTTACTAACACAACTTGAACATAATCTCAAAAATCTTGAATTCAGTGTAACTGAATTTAAATTCGGTTCTCATTAAAACTAATCGGGGATAATTAAGACCAACATCTGACCAGAAACTATTCGAAATGCTAGAAAATCACCCTAGTTAGTGGTCAGAACTCATCCTTCCTTGGCATATATAGTCAAGTAACCTCATATACTTCGGTTATCTCTTGTTATTGATGTGAACTACGGTTGAAACCAACTTATTTTGACTGGTTTGTTTGCGGGAAATAGATAGATTTCAGAGTGGTTTTTTTGATCACAAATTGATCTGGAAACATTTAACAGCTGTTTCATCCTTGTATAGGACCCCTCAGTAATGAATGCTGTAGATCGCGAAGATCGCCCATCGATGCGGACACTTCATCTAATTCAGTCATCACCCCCATTACTAGAGTTTCAGTCTGTGGAACCATTACATGTGGTCTTATGTACAGTTTTTCTTACGATATGACTGGCTTTTATAAGCTGTTTTGTGCTACTATATATTCGGATTGTGTTGTAAAAAGGTTGTACCATCAAATAACCAAGATAACTGACCATACTTTTAACTAGGTAGATAGACTCCTATTCTAACTGTGTGCTTGAGTTCCGACTTATTCATTAATTAACCCCTGATAACCTTTCCTTGATAAAGATTACAAGCGACGTTGGATCAGAAATCTGATAAACTCTCTCTAGGTGACTGGGTCTATCAACCTAGTTATCAAAGACTGACTGGATATAAACTGCCTTAAGTCATCAAAAGTCTTAGCAGATTGGCATGTGAAAAACTGTCGTATATTTATAGGTTAATCGTCGTTATGTTGACTGAGCAATCTGTTCTTTTCATTCTGCTCCGAAACCAGCTGTTTATCACAATATGTGTCAGTGATTTATTTTTGATTGGATTGCTCCAGATGGGTTTCGACCTTGTGGATTGACTTCAGTCTAAGAAGAGTCAAATTATAAGCAGATTTTTAATCACGTATGAGTCACCTCGTTGACAATAGGGTCTAGCAGTCAAATGGACTAACTGACAGTCCTTTTATAGAGAGGCTTTGTTGCTCAAATTTCAACGGGAATTTAGACAGTCATCACTGCTAGGTCGACTTCTGGGAGTCGAACCAAAACTATGGTTTTGTAAATCTTCGATGTCTAAGTCACACGTATAGCCAACTTTTAGAATTGGTTCGTTATCACCAAATCATCCATTGGCAAATAATATGAAGCAGTGACTGAATGAAACAATTTTCATTCTCCTGAACAAAAAAGTCATTTTGATTTCGGTGGTTTGTAGGGATTGAGTTACTTTTCAAGTTGGTATTCGTCACTGGCTGACATCAACTGGAGGAACATTTCGACTCTGTGACTCAATAGTAACGTACTGGCCACGAAACCTGGAGGTCCTGGGTTTGATCCCTGGCACGGCCATGAGTGCGCACCACTGAGGAGCCCCTTACTACGATGAAACAGCTGTCCAACACTCCCAGGTTTCCATTGTTCCTCCAGATGATGTCAGTTGATGAAAACCAACTTGAAGAAAGCTCTCTATCAAGTTCCTCCTTATTGTGAATAAATCAAGGATGTAAGTACAGTGGAGGGAGAAATCCTAAAGAGCATTATTGTTGTGCGGTTACTGTATTCTTCATGAGGCCATGTATGGAAATGCGTCGAAAAGTTTTATTGAACTCTAAGTAAGAAAGATTGAATGTCTTCTTCATCATTAGTTAAATGTTAATAAGAAATGATTATGTTTTTGTGCCCTTATTGTCAATCAGGTTAAACGAAGAAAAGGCTTTGATGAATTAGAAATTGAGAAACAGTCATTAGTAATTAGAGAGACAACCAAAATTTAGAAAGGAAGTTACACTTTTTGATATGTTTATTGAGAACCTTTTAAAAGATATAAAGTTGAAAGCGTTATCCGTCTTGGAAAACACAATAAGATAATGAATGAATTGGTCATTTTTCAAGAATGATTGATTTCAAAGTCTTTTTCTTCATGGATTGTCACTAATTGACAAATTATTGAAAACGTGAGAATATTAGATAGGTATATCTTCCTTGTATCAGTCTCCACAGCAGTGGACATCAAGGTTGGGACGATCACATCTTGTAGTCATCAAATTACCATACGTCTTTTTATTCATGATACACTACAGCTGTTATTCCATTCGATTAGAACTGTTGTTCTCTCTTTATATCAGTAATCCAGTGGTTCACTTTGCTTATTCAACTGAACAGCTGTTCAAAACTCTTCATCTCCCAAGTTGTTCTTAAAATTTACAGTCTAACGAATAAATAAATCGTGTTATTTGTGCGTGAACAATTGTGTTACTAGAATTGGTACGATTATTTGGCATTCAGTATTAACCCATAGACAATCCTGAGGTCATTATTAGTATATTATTTGCTTTTTCCGTGTATCTTCATTTCTTTGATAGTTGGATCGACACAAATAAAATAATCGAACTTTCCATGAATACTGCTTCTGGTTACCAG